TTCGAACTCGGGAGCGATCTCGTCAAACGACAGAGCGTTGTACACAACATCACCGAGCCACGATAGCAACCTCTTGTGTGACGGGTATAGTTTTGGCGTTATTACTCGTATTATTCCGTCATTGATTGGACCGAATTGATCGGTCTATATTGGCATATGGGCCTCTGCTTGGATGCCTCCATATTGTCTGTGTTCTAAATTATGTAGTAATGATAGCTAGTGGCTAACAGTGGAATCCGGGCTGCGTATTTCTTCCTGGCTCGGTGGTCAGGTGTATAACGCTCTGTCGTTTGAAGCGATCACTCCCGAGTTCGAATCCCAGTGAAAATAACACCACTCACTGGGAGGCAGGTACATCCAGCTGACGAGTCCCAAATAGGACGAGATGCACTGCTAGCCACCAGCCATCATTACTATATAATTAAGAACACAGGCAATATCGATGCATCCCCACAGGAGGCCATAAGCCAATAGAGACCGATCAATTCAGGCCAACCAACGACGGTATAATACAAGCAATAACACTAACTTCCTGTAGCACTAGAAACCTACGAAACCCGGATTCATGGCCTCCTGACTTGGAATTAATCAGTAATCTGTTCAATGAATTCACAATCTGCTTCTGCAGTTATGTACTCAAATTCTTCACGTTCAACATCAAATGTATATCAACAGATCGACAGATTCTATAGAAAACAGAATATTTCAATGCAGTTCGCTTCAATAAAGATGCAAGTGAGTGACAAGATTCCAACTCGAATCCTCATGGAGCGTAGTTCGAAACAAATATGCTGGAGACACAATATGCTCTGTAAAACACCAGGTAGTGAATATCAAATATTATTGTAGATAATTGTATTCAGTGTAAATTACCATAAACCATGAGTATTAAACTGAGGGCTGATTGTGACTGAAGTGAATGAATGAATTCTACTCAGTGAGATTATTAAGTTCAGTTGAGGAAACATTGATGAGGCTAGAGGTAAGATGATACTGGTCAGGGGTAATAGGGAGTAAGGTTTTTTGTATGTAAATGTTGGTGTGTAAATAGGAGTAGAATCCAATAGACCAAGAGAATAAATTTTATGAATGGAAGTCAAATTAATATAGCACCCATGAATAGGTGGAAAAGCAAGCTAAACGATCTTGATATGGTTTTGTGATTACAGATGTAAGATACTAGGTACAACGTGTAGTTATGAAATCGTAAGGTTTCTTGAAATAACAGCCTTAGGAATTACGAAATGCCATATTAACCCACCGTAGCTGTGACTGTAGCGTCTGCTTTTTCAAAACAAGCAACTCATGTTATTTCATCCGCTTTGCAATTCGGAGGATTCAAATTCTGGTACTATTCTGACTATTTGATGGTGAACCAATTGACAATCAAAAAATACTTATTCTTGTCAATTAAATTGGTCAATAAAGAGCTAATAATTATCTTTATTGGACTTCTACTTAACAACGTTGAGAAATGTTCACGATCACGGATATTGAAATCGTAGAGTACCACCAACAGTTATATTTGGTTTGACATGAAAAGTTTAACTGATGAATACAGCAGGAAGGTATAAGTCTAGGCAATTCATCTTTCCTTCTACGTCTCGCCATTGGGATATGAAAAGCAATGTAATTTTTAAAATATTTATAGTTTTTTTTTGGAATCTGTGTGGTTCATAAAATGATAATTCTTTAGGAAAATTACCTGCATATATCATGTTTTATTTCTTCGCTAGGCTTTTTCGCAGGTAAAGTTTATCGCTGAGTGTACTTGATTGAGCCTTCCTAGTATCTTAAACATGTTTATGTTGTTTACACAATGATGAATAGAGCATCCATATACAGACAGACCTTTCTTTGGTTTATTTCGGAAAATGGACGCTAATATTGTTAGTAGGATAGTGAGCGTATCAATGACATTTCATTTAAGATTGAAAAGTATTCTAAGGCATCTATGCCCAAGTATTATTGATGGCTTTTCTAACTTGATTTGGCCAAAAATTCATATATGATTCAGCCTCTTCAAATGCGTTAAATCATAGTACATCAATATTGTGTATACAGTGTATTTAGCGTGAACAGGACATAGAATTTTTGTTTTTCTTACAAGTGCAAGTTCTTTCCTTTGCATATGTTTTGTAAAGAAATAGTCTGATCACAATGGAAGACCAGCAGTATATATAGGTATAAAAGTCAAAAGTTGCACACTCCAAGTGATTTGTTTGTTTAACATTTACTTGAATATTTTATACTAGTGACTAATGAGATATTATTACTGGGCAATGTAGCATCGATATGCACAGGATGTTGTAAAAACAACTGGTTACAATTTAACGAAGATGTACATATTGCCTGTCTTTTCAGATATGAAAATTTTACAGCTTATTTTCCTTACCTATCACTTGTATGAAATACCTGAATGATTCGGACAAATCGGTAGATTGAAACTGACAAATAAGGCTAGGAGGAAGTTATATGAACTGTGGATACACTGTAGTTGGTGAAGACAAGTTAAGACTAATTTATTACATATTATATAGCAATAGTTTCATCTTTATCTGTCTCTATCTATGAGCAGTAGTTTCAGGCTAGTCGAAAAACTGACTGATTGCGGAAATGCTGACAGAGAAATGTCGAAAACCAAAGGGGTTGACAGTTCACTATGCTTCGATTCGCTTTCAACCATCATCCGATAAACTTATCAGTACGCTTTTGAACCCTTCATGTCAGTGATAAAGATAAGCAACTGTAAATCACTCATATCTCTGTTTCTATAGCCTTCAAAATTTATTACTACAAAGTGTTTAGCGCACAGCACATAACATTAGCTCATATTTTAATGACATGCACTAATCGTTACCTCGAAGCTTTTTTGCTGTTTAAGACCCTTCATAAAACTCGCGGATTACATCTAACAGGCATTCTCTGTGTTGGGAAAACAGTCACCTGTGCTAATATTATAGAAACAAACTGAATATCTTTTTAACTTGCCTCACGATATGCTGTCACTTTGTAATTTAGTTCGCCAAAAAATGAAGTTGGAGGGATTGGGCAAAGATTCAGGTAATCAGAAATTTTACCAATTAAGCCTATTGCGTTAAGTCTTAGAACCCTCTCATGCTGTAAAGAAGTTCAATAAGTCAGAAGGAAGATTACAATCAGTATTCCTAAAACTACTAAAACTTACAATAAAGTCACATTCGCAAACATTATCCTTTTCAGTATTCCGATGTGTAGTGTTTCTGTCCCCCATATTTCTACTTGATAATGTGTCTTCAACCCTCCGTAATCTTCACCAGCGGATAGTAATAGCTTCCGATGTTGCACTATGTACCGACATATGCCTACTGAAAAAAGCTCCATATTAAATGCGTTTAGTTAGGGGTGAACATGATATCACATCGATACACAACCTTTAAAAATCTTTTCCAGAAATGCAGAACACTGAAATGGTACTAAATGAGCATTATTAAAAGGAAAGACTTTTATTTTTACTTTTGTAGTAATATAAACAATTACAAAATTAAGTAATTTGATTTATGAAATGAAAGCGAATGTAGCTCAGGAGAATAATCTGGATGATGTCGTGTTCCCTGATCTTGAGGAGCTTTTGTTATCACTCTAGGCAACATCATCAGCACAAACTTCAAAAAAAGTGAGCAATGAAGTTCTCTCCACAATTTATTTAGTAGCTTGTCTTGATGGCCTAGTAATTGGTGTTCTCGAGTGTTTTTTAACTGTTATTGGTTCATTACTAATTCCAACTGAAGAAATCGGTCGATTCAATGTACAGAAAGGCAGTTTACTGACCTTAAGAATAAATATATACAAGTTTGATAATTTACTTCTCATTTGTTTCATAGATATGACTGTCCGCAACTGAGCCCTATAACGAATAAGTAGTGGTTTGAAAAATTATCGAGACGTACAAGCGGTCTAGAGACTCGTGTGGTTTTCAAAGTGAGGCCAGTAATTCTGAATAGTTGCTTATTCCTATCTATCTTTGATAACAGAAATACAGGATGGCAGGAATAGGATATTTTGTTAATCACACATCTGAAGTTAAACATTGCAAAAAAGCCCTTCTGAGGCTCATTCATTTCAGCATTCGGCTTTTAAGCAATGAGTACTGAATTCAAATCCCGCTCCACATACTTTTGTTTTGGATAACCGTGTACTATCGTCAATCACATGTTATGTAACTCATAGCCTAATACGTATGCCAATATTGCACTGAGTTGCTGACTGCAGTCTTTTGTACATTAATGGTGGACGGTGACTAGTAGTGGAATCGAGGACGCGAGCTTCGTCCTATTTGGTACTCGTCAGCTGGACGATGTTGTTCCTACTGGGACCCGAACCCCCTGACCAATCAGTTAAAACGCCAGAGGGTTATCCACTAGACCACCGAATCTTGTGCGATGGCTACAGTTTTTATGTTGTTACTTGTATTATACCGTCGTTGATAGGACCGAATTAATCAACCAACAATGGCATATGAGCGGCTCCTGCACAGATGCTTCGATATTGTCTATGTTTCCATTTTATATTAATGATGGATGGCGCCTATCAGGACATCAATGACAGGATAATACAAGTAACAGCATAAAGTGTCTTTCATAGACAAAAACCTATAACACTTCTAGAGTTAAGTACAGAAAGAAAAGCTTGTTTTAAGCACAAAATAAATCTAAAAAATACAACAACGACAACAACAAAAATACAAATATTAGAATCTGAGAGAAAAAAGAAGTAAATATCACAGTAAAAATAGGACATGAGTTTCACAAAATCTGCTTTGAAAGGGATAACGGTTATTTATTGTACAGTCAATATTACAAAAATGATGCACAAGGTTGGTTAGTACTAAATATATGGAGGAAAACACTGTATCCAAAATAATAGGGGAAAGTGATACGAACAGACAATATAACTGATATGATTAGTGTTATTTTATAATCATGTTAACTGTACAAATTTTACCAGTTTTTTTTAAAAGTCTAACTATAAATTTGAAAATTATTCTGTTCCAAATATTTATTAAATAGTTTTTTTGCACGATTAAGTATACGTAAGGAATTGTGTTTACCAGACTGTTGTTGATAGAAGTGTATAATATCGCCTGGTTCCTTTATTTCTAACATAATTACCTCTTTATATTCAAATATTAAAGATAAACAGAGAAATAAGAGAAATGGATTACCCTGACCGAATTGATTCGGTGGTGGTAATTGGGTTACACAACTTTTGATTTGGATAGGTTCATTTTCAACAGAGAAGGAAGGTAACTTCCCTGAGGATGTATGATGATGAGGTAAAGATTTTTGTTTTAGGGGATTTGTGAAATCTGACATTGATTCACTAGGGATTATTTCAAATTCAGTTTCAGTAAGTAATGCTTCAGAAGATGAATTACTGATCAGTAGTGTATCGGGTTGATTTTTATTAGACAATTCATAAGTAAAGTCTACTTCAGAGGAAGGTGATGAGGGAGATGCAGATGAGTAAGGTAACGGAGTGTTCAGTTTAACTACAACTGTAGATGCTCTTTTTAAGTTCACAACATAGTTTGAGCCAATTAACGAATTAATCAGACTAACATCTCGTGCTGTATAATTTTGCCAGTTGTTGAAGGAAGCATTTGAAGTGTGTACGTTAGATATACCATCAGTTAAGACAAGATAACCTTCAGATTTAGAATTGTAGGTCTCATTTTCAATTACACTATTATTAATATTATTATTCACAAGACATAAAGCAGCCCATTGAGATTCGAAGATACGTAGGGATTCATTAAAGTTGAATTCTCGTTTCAACTCTAAAACAAACCAACGTTGAGTAAAATACATATTAGCCAAATTGTGTTCACGAAAAAATTGCGCTAATTCTTCATCTGAATAAGTGAGCAAATCGTGTAAATCTTGCATATTGTTAATTAGTGCAGATTGATGTGCATCACCAAATTTGAATTTCACACGTTGCATTAGGGCACAAAAGCACAAATATGCTAATGCTTCATCACCTTGAACAATTAATAAAGGACTGGCTAGATCAGACATACCTGAAATATTCAAAATCAAAATTTCTAACGTTAGATAGATGACTGGAGTTGTAGTTTATGATCAGTGAAGAAAAGAAACAATTAAACACACAGGTAGCAAATAGAACAATATTATATATCAGTGTAGGCGGTGACTAAGTATAAGTATTGCATGGTAGGGTCACCTCAACCAATAAAGATTCACAACTCTGTAAATCAACAAACTTTCTTCGGTGAGAACTTTGTGTATAACCTCAATATTGTATATTAAATGCTCTCGGTAAACATGGGAGAAATGTTTTCAATAAATATGTAATGGAATACCTGCATTCCCCTAACGTCTTTCACATCCAGTAACACATCCGTGATAACCCTAAGGTAAGACAGGACAGGTTAGTATTCAGAATACTTTCCTTTTTAAAAAACAATCCCAAAATCTAATTAGTGATTCAAAACTATCGTCTTCAAGTAATCTATTAGTAACACATTATGTAATAGATCTTACGCTTCAGGAATTTCATTGCAGAAACTGTTTTACTGTCGAAGGTCGAGGAACTCTTGGATCCCGTTTAAGTTTTGAATGATGGTTCAGTGGATGTCAGATGCATCAATTATTGCACTTTACAGAACTTCTCAATAATACGTCCCAAAGTGAAAGAATTCAGACATATGAACTATTCGATTCTGATGATGCGTTGGTAACATCAGTGTTAGTACACCTGACGGTCTTGAGTTCCTTCCAAAAATGAGGTCTTATATGAATCCCGAATATAAATTAAACAGTCGTCTAGTACTCCATGCTTTTCAATGGTTTTCTAGATGATATCGGTTCGTACGGGAAACTCTTGGAATCAGTTTATTCCTTTACAAACTTCCAAAGTTAGTATTTCGAAAACACAACTTTAAATCTAATTCAGTTGCGAGTTTTGAGGGGATTGATTAAGGTAGTATTCATCGTCTGACATCAATTGCAGAACCACTGAATACCTGAAAGCACTAAGGAGCTGTTTCATTCTAGTATAGGACTCCTTAAACCAATAAAAGATGAAGAAGGAAATTTAATTACAAAAGAAGAGAAACAGAGGAAACGATGGGCCGACCACTTCAAGAAGCTCTTGAATCGACCACCACCTGCACTTCGTCCAGAAATACCACCTGCAGCCGCTGAACTACAAGTGAACATTAATCCCCCAACGAAAATGGAAGTCCTGAACGCCATAAAGCTACTGAAATGTGGGAAAGCAGCAGGACCAGATGGAATACCGCCAGAAGCACTGAAAACAGATGCAGAGACAACAGCGGCCATGCTCACACCACTATTGCAGAAGGTGTGGAAGGAAGAGAAGGTACCGGACGATTGGAAGAAGGGTTACCTTGTCAAACTGCCGAAGAAGGGAGACCTAAGTGCTTGCAAGAACTGGCGCGGAATCACTCTCCTGTCCACCCCAAGTAAAATATTAAGCCGCATCATCCTGGAGAGGCTTAAAGATGCACTGGATTCAAAACTACGACCAGAACACACTGGCTGGCTTCAGGAAGTACAAATCATGTGCAGACCAAATTGCAACGCTTCGTATCATCATAGAACAGAGCATAGAATGGCAATCACCTCTCCACCTCAACTTCATCGACTTTGAGAAGGCCTTTGACAGCGTCGACCGAGAAGTAATTTGGAAACTGCTTCAATACTACGGAGTACCGCAAACCTTTATCCGCCTCATTCAACAACTATATGAAGATGCCACATGCCAAGTAATCCACAATGGGAAGCTCAGTGATGCCTTTGAAGTGAAGACAGGAGTGAAACAAGGTTGCCTACTATCCCCCATGATATTCCTTATTGTGGTGGACTGGATCATGCAGCAAACAGTAGGCAGCGAGAAGAGGGGGATACACTGGACGACGGAAAAGAACCTAGAAGACTTGGATTTCGCCGATGACTTATGCCTAATGTCACATAAACTTGAAGATCTGCAGGCAAAAACTAACAAGTTGATAGAAGAGGCAGCGAAGACGGGACTTCAGGTGAATATAGAGAAGACAGAAGTGATGAAGATACCGCACCACCACCATCAACAACAACAACAAACTCCAATCACCATCAACGGGAGAAACTTAAAGGAAGTAACCTCCTTCACTTATCTAGGAAGCACTGTTTCAACTACAGGCGGGACGGACGAGGACGTCAAAGTCAGAATCGGAAAAGCAAGACAGGCGTTCATTAGCCTGAAACCAGTGTGGAGATCTTCTGCACTCAGCATGCGGAACAAGATACGGATTTTCAACACCAACGTCAAGTCAGTGCTCTTGTATGGCTCAGAGACTTGGCGCGTCACGAAAGGTATTTCCAATAAACTACAGACATTCATCAACAACTGCTTACGCTCGCTGCTGAAGATCAGATGGCCAGAAAAAATAAGCAACAAGGAACTCTGGGAACGAACCAACCAAGAACCTATCACGCAACAAATATGCAGGAAGAAGTGGAGATGGATTGGCCATGCACTGAGAAGGCCGACTGAGGACATCACGCGTCAGGCCAGTTGCTCGAGTGGAATCCCCATGGGAAGCGACGAGTTGGACGTCCAAGGGTGACATGGAGGAGGTCGTGCGAGCAGGAAATGAGAGCTTGTGGGCTGTCGTGGGACCAGGTTCAAAAGATCTCAGAGAACAGAGGTCACTGGAGGCGTGCTACTGAAGCCCTATGTTCCACTAGGAACCCAAGGGACTAATAATAATAATAGGACTCCTTAACTGTGCGCACCCACGACTTAGCGACGGGTCGAGGCTGGGACAATAAGGTTTCACAGAGACCATGTGACCACATAGAAACCAGGTTGGAATTCAATGGTCCAAATTCCACCACTTTTGTTATTAAGCGGTATTTTTACCTCTTAATAGGTTCAATAACTTGAATACAGTCTATGTATATTGATTGGTCATTGAAAAGTAACCAACTATACTGTATAGACACAAATGCTGATCAAATTCCATTGATCATTTTGCAATGTGTCCACCAGCCTTGGTGGCTCAACACAACACGATGCACTTTGATTGATGTTAATTGAATGAAGCGAGTCAGAAGGAAGCCGTGGACCTAGGTTTCACGCTTTCTTGGCATTCGTTAGCGCGGCGCATCTGCAACCTCTACGGAACTGACTCGAATCTCAGGCGGGATATCATTTTAGTTGAGATTGCAGATACGACTAGCTGACGAGTGCCAAAAAGCAGGAAGCTTACGTTTAGGACTTCCTGTTGATCCTCTTGACCCAACTAGCAGTCAAGGTATATTTACCTATGCCAGGTCTTGGAACATGGGAACATTTACTGACCTTTAACGTTGACTGAATTCGGCTTCGATGACCGAGGCATTTAAAGGCAGTGTTTCTCGCTGAAATAGATGCCCAGAGAGTACATTGCTTCACTTAATTGGGAAGTTATATCAACCTTGATGTACCATAGTGAACGAAATATTGAAGAGGATGAAAAAGGCTAGACTGGCTTTTACCAATTCAAACCAGTAATAAAGCCGGCGAGGTATTCAACTGCTTAATGATGAAGGAGTATACTGTGTAGTAGTTAGCTCAGTTCTCCGCCACGGTTTTGAAAGATGAATATTTAAAGTGGAAGATATGTTAAAGCAGCAAGCATTTGACTACCAATATCTTCGTAGCATTGGGTGTGTTGTGGTACCACCAAGTTTGTAACGTGGAAGTCAGGCGTACGGCTTTGATCAAAAGAGGAAAGTAAGTTGATGGAACGCATTATAGGCATGTCTATTAACCACCTACTTCAACGTGCGATGTTCGTTGAAATATATTTGGATTGGAAAAAGATTAGGAGTGGTCAAAATAAAATGTGCTGTTAGTCTATGAAAGGAACTGTAGACTTTACTGTTGGGATCCAATTGACAACCGAAATCGATGGCTGGAAAACCCAGGTGATATGGCTCAGACTTTATCGTAGTGATTTCGATACTTCCACACATCACCTTCAAACTGAACGTCTGTCACATTTTGCTATCGATTTTGATCCATCTTCCCCTGTTCTTATGTTTTTCTACAACTTTTGAGTACATAATTTCTACCTTCTGTCTATCATCGTAGTGCTCTGTATCTCAACATTATGAAAACTTGAACTGTTTTACAAGAATGTTGACTGATTCTTGGGTACTGGTTTACCAGTATTAAGTTCTGATTTCGATCTCATATAGGACAAAACAGTTATTCAACGTTTCCACTTTCTAGATATTTTTTAATTCATGTTAGTTAATAACGCAAACCATTTTCAATTCAACTAGTCTTCTACAGCATATAAAAGCACAGTCTTAAATGTATCAGTAAAATTTACACACTGTCTACTGATACCTTGAGTGACTGCTTATTATCTGAAGGTCAAATCATAGTTAATCTTGCCTTAGCTATATGCTTGAATACAAGTGCCGTTTGTTTCATCAATGTTATCGGATTCAGATCAACATATAAGATAATCTGTAGGTAAATAGTTTGGTCCGTTAATTTTAATGGAAATGGACGTTGCAAGTCACCTTTCGATCACAGTAAATTATTTTATACCATGTCAGAGGGGGTAAGAGAATGGCAACATGGGATCTGGGTTTACTGCGTAACGGTCCAAATTGCTACACACACCATAGCAGCATATCAAACGAAAATGCACTAAGATGAAAACAGTCAAAGTGGTAGAAAGTTGTCAAAAGAGAGAACACTGAAATTAGGTATGAAAATTAAGATGATAATAAGTAGATAAATTTGTGCCACTGAGATCAATTTTAGACCATTGGTTTCTGTTATTATACAGGCAAAGACTTCATGGACTGATCCTATATCTTAGCCTTACCACTTCTAACCCCTTCGCCATCTAAACCAATTTCAGCTAACATTGTGCAACACGGCAAATGACCATACATGCAAGTCATCAGCTTAAATATCAATCTGACCACTTAGTCTAGTGTGCATTCAACATTAATTTACGTCCACCTATATAAGTTAAAGTAACAAAAGGGTTCATTTAAAGTCCATAATATCAATATACGTATTCAGAACAAAAATATCAGCTGTTTTAATAAGTGAAATAGTTGTTTGCTGTGAGTTCTAATAACATTCACTTTATACACCATAACTATATCATTTATTTCTTTTCTTATTGTTTATCTAACTAGACGTAACCATATCTTTTTCTAATCAATATAAATATTTGTAGAAAATTGCACAATAAGTCATAATGCAATGTTTTATTTCTGACCATCGATAGACACAGCCTTTTCGTAACTACCCTTCCTTCCTCTTATAAAAAAAGACAGGAAACGCAACTACAGCGTATGGCTGATACAAGCTTTAATTACTCTATCCATTGAATATGAGAATATATTAATCAGGTGTATATTGATTGATTACGGGAGAGCAACCAATCTCATGTTTTCTAGTCCTGAGTGCACACCGAATCCTATCAGTTATATTGGCAATGTGACCACTAAGCTAGAAGGCTCAGCATTGTGGTGCACATTTGTAGATGTTGATATGTTGGAGGCAATCGGCAGGAAGCCCTGGACCTACGTTTCGTGCTTGCTGGCACTCGTCATATCTTCCGTGACTAATCAATATATAAAACCCAGTCCTACAGAAGGTCAATCGCGGCTCGAATAGCTCAGTGGTAAAGTTGCTGACTATAACACTGGATGACGTGAGTTTGAATCTCAAAGGGGACATCAGTTCCGTCCAGGTTGCAGATTTGCCTTGCTGGCGAGGGTCAATAAGCACGAAACCTAGGTTCAGGGCTTTCTCCCGATCGCCTACAACCAACTAACATTAATCAGATTTTAGTCGCAATAAACTATAACGACATATTATCTTTACATAATTAAAATCATTCATAACCTTAGATATGAAAACCAACAAGAAAATTCAAGTATTTAACGATCAATATGGATATGAATAAAGTCGAGTTCACTAGAATCAGTCTAGTTCAACATTGGTAATGAAAAATTTCAAACCACTGGCGCAAATTAAAATAAAATGGTTTTTGCTGTTACTTCTGAACAAGCCAAAAATCGTAGACAATAAATACTGTAACGCTACCGACAAAGGGAAGACTAACAGATTTAGTAGTTAGCTGCAATAAAAGCTGGTAGTTTATCACTTGCAATGCCAGTGGCAATTATTGCTGAAAATGCAAGCCACCATTCTCTAAAAAAATTCTGTTTAGCAAGTGTGATTCATCATGAAATCACACATCAGTAATAGCTTGGAACCTATTTAGGAAAGTAGTGATTGTTACATAGAAATATTTAAGTGTAACAGACAGCATGATTTTTACACTTCCAACAAATATAAGATTGAAAAATTTAAACCTTAAATTATTCGTCGCAGTGGTCTAATGATTGTGGCTTCTGTCCACAGAAGTATCATGTGTGGGCTGCCAAGGTATGGAGCACATTTTGGTGCCCATGTTGTATCAAGCTTCTTTTAGATATCAATTAAACTTGAAAACGGTCCCTGAATATAATCAAATTATCTAATTACTTATGGTTTCTATTATTTGGATTAACTCCGATAGTAATAACAATGATGACAATAATACTTAGAATGCGAAGTATAAAAAAGTAAATTATCAACTTACCTTGACTGTAACCAATATTTGGATGATGTATACAATATGTAGCTAGAACATCGAACAACTGGGAGACTCGATGATGATTGCATTCATTTCGATAGTAGTCTTCTTCTAAAATATGAAAAAGAGAAAATAAGTAATGTTAAAATAAGGATATAGAAACAAGTGACAAACAAACAAACGGGTACATTATGAAAAAACTTGAACAGTTCAAACAAAATACCTATTCGACTGTTAGTTTATTTAATGTAAAGTCGAAATTGTAATTATGAAACTTCAAGGTAACTGAATAAGAATTTTGGTTGATTATTCAAAAGTAGTAACCTCGCCTGGTTAACTAGTTTACTAGTTACTAGCCGGTCCTAAGCCCGGGTAAAGAGGGAAGGTTGGGCATAGGGCTAGCAACCCTACCCCGTAAAACAAATCTAACCGCTAAAGAAACTTCAAAGCACAAACAAAATATAAAAAATGAAAACAAACTTATTCCCCGCTGGAATCGGAGAGGCGAAATGACGCCAGTTGGTGAAAGCCTTCGGGAAGCCAATTGGCCGATGTGTCTTCTCTCGATGAAAGCGAAAGTAAACGTGGGGACATGGAATGTCCGCACGATGTTTGAACCCAGTAAGGCAGCCCAGATTGCAAGGAGATGAGAAGGTATAACATCGAAGTGCTTGGGATTTGCGAAAGCAGATGGAATGGGAGTGGACTCTCCAAACTGTCAACTGGAGAATCAATAATCTACTCCGGTCACCCAGACGCCAACCACGAGCACACTGAGGGAGTGGCTATCATGATGTCCTCAAGAGCATCGAAGGCTCTCATGCAGTGGGAACCAATCTCCTCCAGGATCATGACAGCAAGATTCAACTCAAAAGGAAGAAAGGTCACAATCATACAATGTTATGCACCTACAAATAATGCAGAGCAAGAGAAAAAGGAGGATTTCTACAGACAACTTCAATCAACACTGGACAAGACGTCAGTTGGCGATATCAAAATTCTGATGGGCGACATGAATGCCAAACTGGGAGGGGACAACACGGGAAGAGAACTAACCATGGGTCGAGAGGCACTAGGTGAAATGAATGAGAATGGAGAATTGTTTGCAGAATTCTGCGCATTCAACGATTTGGTGATTGGAGGCAGTGTGTTCAGGCACAAAGATATCCACAAAGCGCGACATGGATTTCACCAGATGGACACACTAAAAATCAAATCGACTTTATCTCAATCTCAAGAAAATGGAGACGCAGTCTACTTAACACAAGGTCAAGAAGAGGAGCAGATGTAGGTTCAGACCACTACCTAGTGCAAGGAACCTTCCAAATCAAGTTAAAAGCCTTCAAGGAAGCTGGTGATAGACCTCAACCCAAGTACAACACTCGGAAACTGAAGGATGAAACTACAAAGGAGATCTTCAAGGCAGCCATCAAGACAAAATGGGAGACATCGAGCAACATCCCTGAAGAAACCTGTGTGGAAGAACACTGGAAGTCTTTGAAAGCTATGTGGAAAGAAACCTGCACAACAGTATTAGGAAGGAAGAAGAAAGAAGACAAGGAATGGATCTCGACGGACACCTGGAAGCTGATAGAGAGGAGAGGAGGATGGTGAAGCAGAAGATAAACCAGTGCAAGGATGCTCAACGACAAGAGGAACTGAGCACAATGTATAAAACACTGGACAAAGAAGTGAAGAAGAGTGCACGCAAAGACAAAAGACACTTCTACGAAACACTGGCAAGTGAAGCAGAACAGGCTGCAGGTAAGAGAGACCTGACGACATTGTATCAAATAACCAGGTTGCTATCAGGGAAGAGACCAACACAGATGAAACCAATAAAAGATGAAGAAGGAAATTTAATTACAAAAGAAGAGAAACAGAGGAAACGATGGGCCGACCACTTCAAGAAGCTCTTGAATCGACCACCACCTGCACTTCGTCCAGAAATACCACCTGCAGCCGCTGAATTACAAGTGAACATAAATCCCCCAACGAAAATGGAAGTCCTGAACGCCATAAAGCTACTGAAATGTGGGAAAGCAGCAGGACCAGATGGAATACCGCCAGAAGCACTGAGAACAGATGCAGAGACAACAGCGGACATGCTCACACCACTATTGCAGAAGGTGTGGAAGGAAGAGAAGGTACCTGACGATTGGAAGAAGGGTTACCTTGTCAAACTGCCGAAGAAGGGAGACCTCAGTGCTTGCAAGAACTGGCGCGGAATCACTCTCCTGTCCACCCCAAGTAAAATATTAAGCCGCATCATCCTGGAGAGGCTTAAAGACGCACTGGATTCAAAACTACGACCGGAACAGGCAGGCTTCAGGAAGTACAAATCATGTGCAGACCAAATTGCAACGCTTCGTATCATCATAGAACAGAGCATAGAATGGCAATCAACTCTCTACCTCAACTTCATCGACTTTGAGAAGGCCTTTGACAGCGTCGACCGAGAAGTAATTTGGAAACTGCTTCAATACTACGGAGTACCGCAAACCTTTATCCGCCTCATTCAACAACTATATGAAGATGCCACATGCCAAGTAATCCACAATGGGAAGCTCAGTGATGCCTTTGAAGTGAAGACAGGAGTGAAACAAGGTTGCCTACTATCCCCCATGATATTCCTTATTGTGGTGGACTGGATCATGCAGCAAACAGTAGGCAGCGAGAAGAGGGGGATACACTGGACGACGGAAAAGAACCTAGAAGACTTGGATTTCGCCGATGACTTATGCCTAATGTCACATAAACTTGAAGATCTGCAGGCAAAAACTAACAAGTTGATAGAAGAGGCAGCGAAGACGGGACTTCAGGTGAATATAGAGAAGACAGAAGTGATGAAGATACCGCACCACCACCATCAACAACAACAACAACAAACTCCAATCACCGTCAACGGGAGAAACTTAAAGGAAGTAACCTCCTTCACTTATCTAGGAAGCACTGTTTCAACTACAGGCGGGACGGACGAGGACGTCAAAGTCAGAATCGGAAAAGCAAGACAGGTGTTCATTAGCCTGAAACCAGTGTGGAGATCTTCTGCACTCAGCATGCGGAACAAGATACGGATTTTCAACACCAACGTCAAGTCAGTGCTCTTGTATGGCTCAGAGACTTGGCGCGTCACGAAAGGGATTTCCAATAAACTACAGACATTCATCAACAACTGCTTACGCTCGCTGCTGAAGATCAGATGGCCAGAAAAAATAAGCAACAAGGAACTCTGGGAACGAACCAACCAAGAACCTATCACGCAACAAATATGCAGGAAGAAGTGGAGATGGATTGGCCATGCACTGAGAAGGCCGACGGAGGACATCACGCGTCAGGCTCTCGAGTGGAATCCCCATGGGAAGCGACGAGTTGGACGTCCGAGGGTGACATGGAGGAGGTCGTGCGAGGAGGAAATGAGAGCTTCTGGGCTGTCGTGGGATCAGGTTCAAAAGATCTCAGAGAACAGAGGTCACTGGAGGCGTGCTACTGAAGCCCTATGTTCCACTAGGAACCCAAGGGACTAATAATAATAATATATAATTCAAAAGTAGTAGAAACAGCTAAATGTGTCGACCACTAGACCTGGTTTCAACGTGGCACAATCCAGGTCTAATACTGCCTCATGGTTGGAATCCGTTACGCTACACGGTTCATGAACAATCACAATGGTGCACATGCATTTGTGGTTTGTTGTAATCTACATTGTAACGCTGCATATTGTTATTCATTTTATTCCCATTTACTCTGTTTTACGGTGCTTTACGCCTGCTGGCATAGGCATTGTTATTTCTTCATTTTTGCTTTTGTTGACTTTCTATCACATGAGCAAATTTAGTCTGGCAACCTGGTAACGTCAACAGTCATATGTTTGATGTCGTCATAAATTCTGAGGATGTTTCAAATCTATCTCTATTTAGCAATCATAATAATGATAAAAACAGTAAGAGTAAAGAGACTTCGATGAGTGTGATATAGAACAACGAGAAAGACAACTTACAAAAGAAAAAAAGCAACTAAACACTCAGAAATAACAGGAGAAAGTGAATCCAACAAAACGTGGTCCGAAACATTAAATACTCACATGCATATATCATTTTAATGGTATAATTATGCTTTTTTCAATAAGATAATAATCAACTAGCGAATAACCGTTAACTTTTTCTAGACGTTTCAGGTTATAACTCGACCCTAGTTGTGTACAAACAGAGAGACAAGAGTTTATTACCGCCATTAATACCCACAAAACAAACGTCAATCTTATCATTCATCTTAGTTAACGAGGCAAAAAAAAATTATCGATAAATTTACTAACGACGCTACAACATCTCAAAAAGTTTGCAACATTCATCACATTAGATGCCACATTTCTATTCATTGTTCTTGTGAACACTAGGACAATAATCAAGGTATTTCTATGAATATAGATATTATTATGCAATTATTTGACTGAAGGAGAATTCCGTGCTATAACTAACAGTTTGGTTTCTTTCAAGCATCCGTAAAAATCTCATTAGAAATCAAATGAATCGTAGAAATAAGGTTCGCAACTTGAGTTATTATGGTATAAAGAGTGGCGTTAATGAATATAAATAGAGTTAAGTAACCAAGTACTTGAGTTTTATTCTTTAAAAAGAAATTATAAAAGATTAGATAAGAGACAGGATATTTCCCCTGGAGAAGAGAATCTAAATAGAGCTGATTTTAGTCTCCATCTATGCATCCACCGACTGAAGTTTGGATATTGCACCGGACTAATCTTCAAAGGAATTTTTTACCTTGCTAGAAAAAGCGAAACACTCAGATATAGCTCAAATAGCAAACGAATTAAACGCTGAAGTAGGAGGAATGAAATAATCAGAAAGGTATCTTGAAGGTAACTACGATATCTCATGCTGATGAACAGACAGCAGTTTTGTTCTAAGAATCACAGGTTTCCGGCAAGCACTAATTTCAAGTACAAGAAGAGACACTGTCTCATATGACATTCGACGACATTAGGCCAATGATGTACACAGATAGATCCTATAGCTATAATTATCGTTGGAGATTGTCATTCTTTCTGGAATGTCTGTTAAGATTCCAATTACATGTTGGTAGGGGTTAGTGTA